GGGTTTCCTCCGTAGTGGAATGTATATGGGGTCGAGTTCAATGTGTTTATTAATAGCATGCTTCGTGGAGTGCCGTGTTTCCAGGAATTCTCGTGCTTGTTTCTGCCTAGCCTGTCCCAGGATCTTGGTGTTGTCCCAGTCGAAGTGGTGGTTCTCCTTGTCCATGTGGATTGAGATGAGTGAGTATTGGTCATGTCTTTTTGTAGCCAGTTGGTGCTACACCGAAGAGGTTACCAAGCACGGTAACGAAACATCTGCGGAACAACACACCAGCTCGGCAAGCTAACCAGCCTCAACACCCACAACCCGAGCTACAGATCTACTCCAAAACCTTGAAGGTTAAGATCCCTGCCTAACAAACAAATACACATACTCAAAGTGACTGTGTAAACTGATAGTCATTGAGGTTAATGCCAGCAGTCCAAGAAGGCGTTGACTGCAGTGCTATAATACATTAAATGATCTCACACAAGTGGGTGAGGTTAATGACAGCACCATCACGTCATAATCTTTCAACTGTATCACTGGTAATACCTAGAGCACCACAGCCTTGTTACCCAACTGACAAAATAAAACTCTATCAAGACTCGCCTTACATTTACAAGATCTACCCCACCCTCAGATACTTACTACTGCAAACCCCACGCCCACGTATTGCACTGGGACAGTGGAGAAACAATAAGACAGAGATGAAGATAAACCATCACTTTCTTTCATGCTTACAGATCCTGATACAGTGGGTAAAATTGGCTAGAAGAGACAGGATTTCACATGCTGAGACACCCATAAATCACCAGGGCATGGTGCAAGAATAGTACAGATACCACATCACAGGAGGACATGTCTGACAGGGGTTGAACTGCAAAGATGAGGACTTCAAAGGACCAGGTTTCAGAAGGCAGTTGATGGGTATACACAATAGAACATTTGGTACATTGGAAAGAAATATTGAGGATTTCAGCACTTGTGTTTTTCAGAGCTCGGAGCACCTCATTCTCCAGGTGAAAATGGTGGCCAACTTCATTAGTGCATTTGTGGACTTCAACCATGAAGCAAAGCATGATACCCAACGTCTCTGCTACAAGTAACTCCCACTATAAATCTTAACACTGCAGTGAAATCTCAGACAACAATCATTTATGATCAGATTGCTCTCACATTAGTTTAGCTTCCAGCTAAGCAACCTGTCATTATGGCTGCCAGTAGTCATGTTCAAAGGGCCTTACAGGGGAGTCACAACAGTCTAACAAGATCTCCTCCGACAAATTACTATGATTGTTGGAACCTCAGCATCGGGGAGTAACAGTGATTCAATGGAGCAGCAGCCCCCTTCTGTCCTCTCCTAATATGTCATCGTTCACACCTACAGTCTGCTCCATTTGGCACAACAGGTGACCCCACCACACTATATCACTCGCGCACTCCCCCACCCTCGCACGCGCGCACTCCCACCCTCATATACACATGCCAACACAAATCAATTCTAAACAAGGTCTCACACCTATCATGCAGTGTCTGACTTAAAATGTCACCTCTTCTTTACACTGATAAAACCTTTAGCTCTCTAGGGACCGTGACTTGATAGGAATTCAGGAATTTACATATACATATTGATCAATTAACGCCTTCTAACTGATTAAAGATTTAACAGCATCTTAGGTTTGTTTAGTACATCCTCATCAATGGTGTGAACCTTTGATCTTTTACTTATGAAGTCTGTGCCTGATACTACCTCTCTCACTGACACCTAAAGGAGGATTGAGGTTCTGAAAGCTTGTGTTTTCAAATGAACCTGTTGGACTATAACCTGGTGTTGTGTGATTTTCTGACTTTGCCCACCCCAGTCCAACACCAGCACCTCTTCATCAGTAAAATGCAGCACACACAAGCACTAAGAGATTCCTCTTCTTGCCTGGTCGTCAGGCCTGCCCCTTCGCTATAGTGAGTGTGAAATATGAAGCACAGCAGCATAAATCTTGAGAGCTGCTCAGCTCTTCCACTGCAAGGAATCTCCAGAAAGGATTCAGACAGCTAAATCATTGTTTCAGCACTCTAATGGCCTTCTCTATTACATACCCTGTGGCAGCATGGTTTTCAGTGTGTGCCTGCTGTGTTAATGTGCATGAGGAACCAGAGTCATGATCCATGTTGTCAACAGGTAGTATTTTTCACTTAGTAGCTACCCTTTAGTTCACTGTGGTGGTTCAAATGCTGCTATTGCAGTGGACTGCCACTAAATGAAGGCATTCCAACTGCAGGATAACATGCAATAACCAGCCCGACAGGCTGCTATGGTTACACATGAGCTGGATGCTGAGGAAGTGAGGCTCCCTTTCGGCTCAAGTATGTGGTGGAGCTAACTCGCATTGCCTGCATGAACATTACTTTATGGGCAATGATAACATGTATCATGGAAAACCTGCAATACCAAAGCTCACTATATTCATCTATCTCTGGCAATGAAGTGTAAAATAAATCAGAGAATGCTATTAATATCCAACAGATCAGGCCAAATCTGTGGAGAGTTTCAGGATGATGCCCTTTCATCAGGACTGGAAAATATTTGAAATGGTTTTAAGAGCAGCAGCAGGGAAATTGCTGAGGGATGTGGAGGGGCAGTTCACTCACAGGGAGGACAAGAGAGAAAGTCTAAAAATCAGCAAAGATTACGTGACAAAAGGATTGATAGTACAAGGCAAAAGGAGATGATAATAGGACAAGTAAAGAAATAAAAAAGATACCAAAGGCCCTCTATGTCCTTATTCCCTTTTCCTCCCTCAGACCCCATCCCTTCTTCAAACTTAATTCCTTACCATGCTTTCATTAAACTTTCAAATCTTCTCCACTCACTCAAATGTTTATTCTCAACAAAATCTTTATCGCCTTTCACCCACATCTCAACAGATTGCCAGCTTAGAACAAAGCCAATTTCTTCTTTCGCCTCCGTGTGCACCTCTTTCGCTGAAAGTCTTCTCTCTGCAATCTTCAGCAAACCCTTTGTTCCATCTTCAAAATTTTCTTTCAACCTAGACTGCTCCTCCGGCCAGAAGCATAATGGAACACTCTCTGCTTGCCTGGATGAATGTGGTTCCCCGAACACTCAAGAACACTAGCTCATCCAGGACAATGCAGTTTGCTTGACTGGCACATCATATCACCTTGAACATTCAGTACCTCTACCACAAAGGCACAGTGGCAGAGGTGTGCACCATCTACAAGATGCATGGCAGCAAGTAGCCAAGTCTCCTTTAACAGCATCTTCAAAACCTATAACCTCTAGCACCGAGAAGGACAGCAACACATGAGAACACCATCACTTGCAACTTTGTTTCCAAACCTCACAGCATCACAATGTGGAATTATATCACTGTTCCTTCAGTGTTGCTTAATCAAAAGCCTGAACATTCTTCCTAATGGCTCTCAGGGCTTTCCTACACCTCAAACTGCAGCAATTCACCACCACTTCTTGGGATCAATCAGGGATGAGTAATTAATGCTGGCCTTGTCAATGACACCCACTTTCCAACAGAGAATTATTAAAATTCTGTGGTTTGGCTATTAACTGAAATCCATTGCAAGCCTATTGACTCCCACCATTACCAATAGCCAGAAGAAATCAACCAGAAACTAACCAAAACAAAGTTTTGAGCTTTTCATGATCACTGGGTGTCACAAAGTGTTTTACAGCCAATGAAGAACTCTTGAAGAGTTGTTACCATTGTAGAAATTGGGCCTTTTATAAACTATAATTTTCTAAAAAATAAATAGGAAAACAAACACTTAATAAGCATTGATAGGACCATCTTAGAAAAGAAACTGTTTTATTTCTGTCTTTAGAACACAAATAGTCCTTGAAAACATCAAGACATCTTGGTTCAGCTTCCATGTTGACAGCCCTAAACTGGCAGGACGATGCTTTGCGAATCATTTATTTCTGCAAGTGTTTAAAACGAACCAGGAGGTAACCTGCAACAAGACATTAATTAAAAAGCTGACCTCATAATGGGAGAGAAAGATAACCATCTTGACATCTTGAAGACTTGTTCCATATTCATTAATTACAAAGAGTCAAACAAAGATAACATAGTGACTACCCTACCACACTCTAGAATGAAAGCATATTAACAAATTCTCTTCAGATTGAAGGGCTAGTCAGGCAGCTGCCCTCTTAAGATGAAAGATGGATCAGGAAAGATGTAGACAATCTCACAGAAGAGTTTTCTATCATCCAGCTAGAGAGCAAGCTGCTGCCATCACAAGTTACTGAGATGAACACGCATTCTGACAACTGCTAGCTGTCCACTAATAAGAGTGAACTACCTTCAACTGTTACAGGTTTCATACTTTTCTATCTATTTAGCTAACATATAATAGCTAAATAAACTGCTGCCTTCAATAGACTATTTTCAAATTACTTGTGGAGAGGTGACTATTTTAGATAACTGTGGCCTCCATAAACTTTACAAATATAAGAAACAGAGTAGGAACCTAAGCATAGCAAACTCCTACAACAACAACGCAATAATGAGAAAATAACTTGTTTTTCTGTAATACTGGTTGAGGGATAAATATTGGCCACCAGGGATAACTTCCCTTGCACATTTTCAAAACCGTGCCATGGGTTCTTTTATACCCACCTAAGCTGTATGGCATACCATGTCAGCAGATCTCCTGGCAGAAGCAGCAGCAAAATTGCCCAAAACAGCATGCAGTGCCCCAGATAGCATTTCACCGAAGTTCTGGATCACGACGCATCACTTCTTCCTCTTTGGATTCCAGTGCCCTTGAGATAAAAGCTAATAATCCATTCACATGGAATTACTCAGCTTTCAAACTCTTTTAAGCTAATTAATTTCAAGTAATGGGCATTTCAGAGGAAACGCCATAATTATCCAGTGTACTCTGCTTTGAAATTGACACAGTAAATATTTTATTCCAAATTTACACCGCTGAAGTGAAAATATGTAAACCACATCAATATTTACATAAATCTCACACACCTTCTCAATATTTATCTGGTGCTTTTGGAGCCGTTCCAAATCAGTTGGGATTGCAACTTTAACAAATTTCTGGATCGCTGGTTCCAATCGTCGAAGGCTCAGTTTTGCAGCATCTTTCGCCATCCTGTTTCCAAACAGTAATTAGGGTCTTTCTGGTTAAATCACATCAGACCTTAAGTAAAAGATTAAAAACATTAGTTCAAAGGAAAAATACTGATATTGCAAGGTCTTTCAAAAATTTTTCTATTCATCACAAAATTCAATGTCTAATAAATAAACGTGTCAAATAATGATTTTTAATAAGATATCACAAGATATTCATCATTTTTAAAAAAATTTTTTCACCATTCATGTTAAACTACCGATGGATGCTTACTCTAACCCTACATCCCATCATTTCAGATATAGATTGCAAATAAAAATGTCATTGACTGTTCATGTACACAACCTAATCCTGTGCTCTCTCAATTTTGTGTCACACCTAAATGGTCATTTAAAAATATTAATACAATATATAAATGTTAGAAAATCCATAAAAGTGCTTCTGATTAATAAATAACCACTCAAAAATATTAAAATCAACTGAGTTAAGAAATAAATCATTATGCCAGCCACACCCATTTGTGACTTTTTTTGTGTTAAAATTTGCTTTCTGAAAAATAAAAGATGTATACATATTTTTGTCTTATGCTAGTCGTGATATAATGGTTCCGGAAATTAACCGTTCTACTAGATAGGTGAACAGTTATTCCATCTGAGTTGAAATATCAAAAATCGCACTCCACACCATGAATTATCCATGTGCAATGCTAGCAGTGGTCTATCAGTCTCACGTTATTTGCATTAACTAAAAAACACATTTGCAATGATGCTGCTTTGAATGTGGCTTGGTCTAAACACAGAAAAATTCAAATTTACATCCTTTCCATATCAAAATGTTAACTTTGCATTGTAGATATTTTAACAGAGAATCGTTATTGTTATCCTTCCAGTTTTTCTACCCTTTTTACCCAACTAAAGGAAACATGTGATTTGCTCCCATGTCTCTCAAAACTGAGAAATATACTACTGTTAGCAGTTGAAGGGATGTAGATACATAATTAACTAACGGTAAAAGATTGGAATTTCCTGTGAGAGAATAATTGGGATGACATATCTGAAATTTTGCCTATCCATATACACATTTTGTTAATTTCAATTTATTCTTAAATTTTCTACCAACCTCAACATAAGATTCAGCGTAAATGAGGAAATCATCAAAATTGGAGCCTTTTAAGACTTGAAACTCAAACCGTACATCCTGCTTTAAATGTAAAAATTAAAGTTCTGAACCATTTAACAATTAATCCATATTAGACATAATATGATTAAGAAAGTACAACTTGGTATGCTTTTTAATGTTTTGTGTGACTTATGCTGAAACCATAATAATGCATTCAAACAAATACACAAGTTTTCATTCAAATATTTGTCAAAGCCCAAGAAACACCAGAAAAATTATTTTGTTCCTTGCTCAATCTAGAATTCAGAATTTAACTCCTAATATAAAAGTGTACCTGCAGAAATATCACATATGTTATGACCAGTTGAGAAGGGAGAATTGGTTGCCCTCTTTTTAAACCCCTCTCAGTCAGTTATATCAAATAGTTAATTTTTTAGCACACAGCTGTCACAGTTCAATTAAAATGTAGTTTGCTAGAAAATGAACGAGCCAATTACTAAGGTTTTCTTGATTGAAAGGATAAGGAATTTTATTACCTGTTCAGCCTGTGAAGAATCTAATAAAAAGGTGACATGAGACACACAAACATGGACAACAAGTTTAAAGAGAGAACAAGAGAGATCCAAACAG